TAGGCCCTCTGAGCTAGCTTCTCACATATCTGACAAAAAATAATACGATCAAGTCATCCAAACCGGACCATACATTAGTTCATACTCTATAGCCCCCATCCATTCAATAACACCAACGCTAGTTCATTTCCTGTCCTAAGCATCGACCATCTGGCAACGGTGCCGAACCTAACTAGTCAACCATGCCACAAGTGCCACCCACGATACTATAAATCGAGACCGAGAATTCCGGCGATACAGTCAGACCTACCGTATTTGTAAATATCTGTGATGAGTGAAATATGTACATAAAATTACCAGGATGGAAGCGTATAAACACACTGCACACTACAAAAAAACGAGATGTACCCTTCCCCACCTCCTACAACTCTCAACCCCTCAAGCCAACTAAACACCTACAATTTTTTCTCTGAAAACGATCAGGAGCCTCTAAAATGTCAAGGAACAAAGTTTAAGTAATTCTTATTCTTTCGTTTTTTTTTTTCGTCACCCGGCCACCACTGGATCGGTTTTCAAAGAGTGCAAAGTTTTTTGTCCTTGGTACAGTAGTTATGTAGTGCGACAATTTCATCAAAATCCGAGCTGACTTTCCAAGTTATAGATGGGTCAAGGATTAGCGGACAGACCGATGAAAATGAGTGACATTGTTTTTGGTGATGTACACGCGTATAACATCCAAAAAACATTAGAATTTCACAATACTTCCTCCAGTAGGCGTGGAAAATAAAATAAAGATTTTCAACCAGAATTATTCAAATAACTTCAATAATGGTATTTTACTCCCAAATGCTCAACCGCTTATTCAGGAAAAATTCTTGATTGTAGGATGATTCAAAGGCATTCTAAGTTTTAAATTTGTAATCCAGAAATACTTTATGTCCTATTTCTTGTATTACATGTGTGGAGAACTTAGGTCACAGCTATCATATGTCCAACCTTTTCGGAAAAAATATGAAAAGCTGTAATGCAGAATGTTCCTCAATAAATACTGAGGATAGTATGTATTCATAGACTACTTCTGTATGAAAATTGTTTATCTGAAAGCTAGTGATACAAAAACCTCACTACCATAACTTTATCTAGTTAAGTTAATTCCACATTTAATGAATCCATTCCTCACTGTAAAATACTCGAAATTTATAAAAATGGATTTTGGCTAGTTCTGCAGGAAATCTAACAGCAAATATACGATGTCGCAGCTTGGTGGTTAATAGTACCAGTCTACTTCACACCATGTCACTCAATGCTGTTGCTCTATCTGTCTGTCATGGACTTTCTAGGCCAAAAAGCAAAACATTTTGTACATGTAGTACTAACTCCTTAGGCGTTTTAAAAAAAATGATCATGGGTGAGCTTACACCAGTGGCGTAGGATTTTTTGGCCCTAAAGGAGAAGAAATAAAATTATTTAGTACGTCACGGACTTTTTTGAAATATATGTTGCGTTGTTAAATATGGCATTCCATTTTAAATGAACTGCCTGTCTTGAGGATACCTTGTGAGACTACTCATTTTCGTAAGAAATGTGGTTTGAATATTTGAAGTAAAATCCCAATAAAGAACTTCAACTCGTTCTATTTTGAAAATACGCTAGTTTTGGTAAAATTTGACATTGAAGACTGTATATGGTGTACTAGGAGAGTAATACTATCTAGTCCCATTTGAACAATATTCATGTCTACCGCTATTCAGTTGCATCAGTCACGTAGAACATTACAATAATACCCTGTATATTTGAATTGAGACAATTAAAAACATATTTATATGAACTTTTTTTGTTATTATATTTATGTCTGCTCTAGAAATATCGGCATTATTTTTCAACCTGTTTGATCCATCCCGGCTGTGCAAGTCTCAGCCCCAACTGAAGTAGTCTGAATTGCTGCTGCTCCTACTACATTGTCTATACTTAATTTGTCCAACGGATGGTTTTCCGACTGGTGATACCCCTGTAACGCATGGTGCCCCTCCCTTCTCGCACCGAGGACAGGCAGTCTGCCTCCGCGCGTTGAGTCTGCCAGGCAAACCTGCTAGCTTCTGCTCCCCATTCTAACTCTGCTAAGTCCTGTAGCTACATTGAGAACTCGTCGATTTTCCTGAGGTGTCAATATTGTGGAAATCCCTGCATGAAATGGCCAATCAGATATCTTTAACCTATTCATACCGGTACCGGTACGTCGGTATTTATGCTTTTGTTTTTGAGGCCACTTCAGTATAAAGTAGTAGTAGTACTAGTAATGGGGAGGCAAAGTCTGGTATATATATATATATATATATATATATATATATATATATATATATATATATATATAACTAGGCTACCATTGACCCCTTTTGCTGGCCCCCTGGTTCAACAGTGTACTACTCCACAAGCCATCTACTGGTAGGTAACTTATTGAATAATCCAGCTCAAGCGTTGCGTTGTACCTATCGATGTGGTGCGTGATGTCGACAACACAGCACATCGTCCATGGCTTGGAAGTTCCAAGACCTAACCCGCGTGGTGCTAACCACTCGACTATCGAGGCTTCAGTGAAAAAATATAAAAGATATTTTTGGGACGTATACAAGAACGCCTCTAAGTACATGGAAATAGAATTATGTTGGAGTGACCTCGAAACCTTGCCCCTTTTTTCATTAACGCAGCTTTCTCCTCCGGAGCCTCTTCATCCTCATCTAATTATATACCGGCGTATACATATACATACTCATATACAAAAAACTTCCATATATCTGCCTGTGTATATGAATGTCTGGTCGCAATAAAGGTGTGCAGAGAGAGCCTTCAGAGGGTATGTTTGTAAACATCACTCTTTCCATAGAGGTTGCGTGTCTACATCGAGGGGAACCAGTTCACTCCTCATGCATAATACGTTGTTGAAAATAATTAATTTCAGCAGGAATGGAATTTTATTTATACATAATACATGTATATGACACATTCATACCGAGTGGAATTGGATATACCGGGTGTTTCACATTCGACCTTCATCATTAGGATTTTGGTGGTAAAAGATACGAAGTAGATGAAATGGGATCAAATTTACTCATCGAGGTTAAGAAGTACTTTTGAGTCCCGAGTATCTTCACAGAATTTTCTCATCATTTTTCTCTGATCTTTTTTATAATCAGATTGCATACTAACGTATCACTTTACTTTTCGATAAGGTAACATAATAGGAATTAGAATACCGTGTTAGAGTTCTGAAAAGATGAATAAATTTTTTATTTCTGATCTCAACTATGTATTGAACGTCATATACTGAATCTGTAAACATACATGTATTTTAAAAAACGACAGTTCATCGGCTGGTCTTGATATTTACTAATTTATCACGTAATGTATTGCATATACATCGCTAAAATCAGGATTAAAAGCTCTATATACTTATGCAAAATTATATCCTTTCCATAGAAAAAATAAATATGGTCGTGGAAGGTAAGAGTTGCAACGTCAGATTCAAATTTTAATTATCTTACTTCATATAGGAGAAAATAGGAGAAAAATAGCAATGTTAATGAGCAATTTTCAAAACTAGCCACCAGTTAGACTTTCTGCTGTGTTACATAAATGTGTTAACTCTGCCCCCATTAAAACAACTTAGGAATTACTTGCCTTTCTGAGATCCAAATAGCGAGAGTCGAACTTGAAACACCCGGTATGGCGTATTTACCAAGAAACCTACAGACTTTATCATACGCATAGCCTACTTTACCCTGCGGTATATTTAGAAAGTATTGAATAAGATTTCTTTGTATTGTAGCAGCTTTTGAAATATGGCTATTCTTATGCAAGCTTTGGTGGGAAATATATAAAAGGCCTTATATCGATTTAGCGTAACAGGTTGAGCTATTCAGAGGCAAATGAGGTGCCAGCACGGCTTCCCTACATTTTAAACGGACATTTTTTATTCGGAAAAAGAATTATTCCGAACCAGAAATGAACAAATGAAACGGCTGTATAGATATTTAAATAATATACTCTCTAAGGAATTTTATATTATGGCAGCTTTCCCAGTTGATGTTTGGACTACTTGCAGATAAGTGTATCAAAACTCATTATTCTCTCGAAACGGTCAATTATTTTTTCACTTACTAGCCCTAATACGTATTGTTAATTTTTCACATACTTCATGTAGCCATTAATTGATGGCTCAGGATGGCATTTCTGATAAAAAAGCATTCTACATAAAAGCAATTCTCCTATCGATTTATACTTATGACAGTTCACAAAATGTTGGATACAAGCCTGCAATTCAGGTGGTCTGAAAATGTATATCAGAGCTTTTTCAGCTCGTTGGTTTCAAATCTGCTGCCAAAATTACCCTGTTTCCCAATTGACTAAACCAATACACCGGATTCAGTAACATAAATGAAAAGTACTGAAACATGTGACTTTATCCACGTTAAAAAATATAAATATTTCATTTATGTTAGGATTCAACATTCCAAAAACATCACCTTTGGAACATTATTTTACAGGTCTAATCCGTCTCTGACTATCTAAATGAGATAAGTATTTCCAATCGACGGTATCATGTAAGGCATCAACTGATTACTATTCCTTGAAAATTTGGTTCAATTATGCATTGTTGGTCAGGGCTTATTTAATAAAAACTGATTTCCAGAGTCGGTCTTCATGGATCTTTGTTTCCAAAACGAAGCGCTATTTCGAAAGTTATCAGAATAAAAGTAATTCATCATTCCTTGAATTTTCGACCCATGTTTAGGAAACATTCTGTGATTGGACTGTTGGTAGTAATTACACGCTAGAGTTCTGTTTTTTTTCTAAAGTAAAATACTTTCTAGCTGAATATTTGATTTCCTGTAAAGGGCTAATATCAACTTTTCACAGGGATAGATCCTGATTATGAGTTAGTTCCTAAATGTCGGTCAATAGGTTTATCAAAGAATTGGAAAATTTCGAAAAGTCACAAAATAGAACACCTCTGCTCTGATTTTGTAGGTACATATCTTTTGTTGTATTTTTTTTTTAAATAATGTCGGAGCATCATGCACAGGTTCAACGCTTATGAAATTTGTTAAATTAGACCTGAAAATTAGACATTTATGATTCTGATCTTGACCAAAATCTCCAATAACTTACTTTTAACTTACTTGACTTTTCTGCATTTTCGTGCATTTGTTGAGAGGGTTTACCATGTAAATATTGGTCTAAGGCATTTGTAACAAAGGCTAGTTACAAGTTGGGTTATTAAAACCAGCCCCTCGGGTCCCATAAACTGCAAACAAGGAAGGGCAGATAAAACTTGTTCTACTGGCGAGTGATCTAACTCATATATATTTTATCTCATAAAGGCTGGGTGTAGGTCCGTCAGTGTTTTTGTGAAAACATAATTTCTCAATAATTGGAAGCCTGGGCAGAACTATCAGTCCAAGACTCCATATAATAATTGATGATGACAAATGCCTCTAGATATAAGTTCAAAATTTTTCTACTGGCGCTGAGCCTCTAAAGCGTCACGTAACTAAGTTTCGACGATTTTTACTTTTTGAAAGCTACAAAACTTAATTTTTCAATAATGGGAAGCCTGGACAGAACTGTCATTCCAAGATTCCATATAATAATTGATGATGACAGATGCATCTAGATATACAGGGTGACTTTGAAGTTGAGTCATTAATTTTCAGATAATGATTGTAGAAGGAATATAAACCAAAATATGTGTGTAAAAATAAAAAAAAAATTAAAAAAAAATTTTTACCTTGTTTTATAAAGTATCCTCCCGACAAGTATTTCAGTGCGGACCTGTATTTGATCGTGAGGTCCCCTGTGAGGTCTTAAGTCACCTGATTCACGAGCCCGTTGTACTACATTAACAAAGGCACGAGGGGTTGGTTGCACTCGATTGGGAAACCGATCCGCATAAACATGTGCCATTTTTTATTTCGTTTGAGCCACGCAACAGACAACTATTCACTGACACTTACTGTATACAAATGAATGAAATAATTCGTTCCAAATTCTTTCGCTTTTTTGTTTCCGATGCGATGAACCGATACGGCGGATTATATCCGTTGTCGCCAAACACGAGCACATTGAGACAGGGCGGTACTCAAACTTCCAAAGGGCTATAACTTTGTTACTTTAATTTTACCAGAAAAATGGTAAAGGAAAAAAACATTTCTTTTGATCAGATCTACTCACTGTTAAAATAAATGACTCAACTTCGAAGTCACCCTGTAGATAAGGCCTATCAGGTAGACAGACAGATCGGCGGAAATGAGTGCCATGGTTTTTCGTGGTGCACATGTCATACAACATCAAAAACATAACATTTTCTTACGATTAAAATATTTCTTCGCTATCGACATGAGAAGTGAAGTTTTGGACAAACTTTATGACGTTTACCTTGTGCGAATGCCCTAAGTTGTATGTAGTAGAAGGCAGTAGAGCCTACCGAATCTGTTTCTGACAACATATGGCCGAAATTTTCTTGTACATCTGGTATTCTGAACTAACTCTGTAGGTGCCATATTACAAAACACTTGAGCCTGTCATTAAAAATTGATTGGATCACTCTGCTGGGCTAACACATAATATCCTGAAAACCCAACTCCACCAGAAACGCACTTGTAGAGCTAGTAAAAGCAACAAAGAATGCAGGCAATGCAACAACAATAATGTTTTGGTGTAAAGTACACTCTCAATGCAAAGCATAATTTACATAAAAGCTACCAAACAACATACCTACAGCAAAAACATTTTCATTATCGCAGCCTTGGTTGGGAAGGCTTACCTCGAAGCACACAAAGGGACAATGGCTTGTAATGAAAAGTACATCATATACTATATATAATAGATGTTTCGCAGCTCTTGGAAAATTGATAAGACCACTCCCATCTATTCGAAACACGCTACAATAAAACACAACCTGCTGTACTCATGAAGAATGCGAATACGTTTTTATTATTTGTACAATGTGCTATAAATGAGTACGGGCGTTTTGGTACCCAAAGCAATTACAAAAATAATAGCAATAAGTGATAAGCGTTCAGAAATGAAAATAAATTTATCAAAGTGGAAGATTCTAATTCGTTGTCCGTTGTGTGATCTATGCTTACTGATTTTTGAGCAATATTTTTATTCAATATAATGCAGTTGTAGCCCAGTACATTTTTGTTTCAACACAGATGGTCAAAGTTGAGGAAACAATATCAGAAGGTTATAAATCCCAAAACAGTCCTTATTTTATCACGGTTCCTTAATATCTGTTAACTACATTGCATTTGTATATGATAAAGCAACTATCTAGAAGCATTTTATAGAAATGAACAAAGTATAGCCTTATTTGTACATGCAGCTAAATACCACAGATGAAAAGGTTCGCTTTCTAAATTTAAGAAAAAATTCAATATCTCAAAAACGGTGACACTTTTATATACATTAGTTTTTGTTATTTGGGAGGTCAGTCCTAAACCTACTTTCTCCTTAAGTTTGTCGTGGTACTTATTGGACATCCTGTTTAATTCAGAAGAAGATTTGTTTTCAAAGCAAACTGTCTTCTTGAAAACGCCTAAGCTGATTTTCAACGAAATGTTAATTATATTTCAGTACTTATAGGAGACGCTACTATTTTATTACTGCTTAAAAAATACTTCTAGTACGCATCTGGTTTTTTATGTATTTGTCACTCTCATTCTTGAGAACTATTTAAATTACACCCTCAATGCAAGAAGTGAAAGATTCATAAAAAGCGTATTTTGTGTCGTTTGACGGAACAACGGTCTCCAAGCATGAAGGACCAATGACGTACGTAAGGGCAAATACTTTGGTGGTGACATATACAGCCTAAAAGACCCCTATTCTGCGTATGAAAAACATACGGCTAGCCTTTAGAGTGTGTCTCCTGAACATTTAATAGTCGATTCACTGGATTATTCTACGGCTACCTGATGATGTTCTCCACAGAACTACTTTGTTGTAGAAATATTATTAGCAAAGACTGTTTGAGACTACTACTTCCAGCTAGAATGCAAGGATCCAACCGACTTGCCATGAACTGTCCAACTCTTCCTAATACACAAGTTACATCTATCGAATTCAGGATGGTAGCTCGTGAATTTTCAGTCAAAACGTACAACTACCTTTGGATAGGTCGAGGAAGACCACCGTTAGGTCCCCGGCCTCAAAGTCCCGAGATCTCAGAAAATAATAATAATCATAATAATGTTTACTGGAGTATATACATAACATAAATACAAAACACATAATACCCCAAAAGGCTGGAGGTTGGCAATGTCATTTTTCACCTCAGCCTACTAAACTACAGATGTGAAACTTATCAACATCTTATGGGTAACAATGTTGAGTATACATAACGTTATATGATATAAAAACCATAATAGAAACAATTTATTTTGAAGAGCCTGCATTTAAGCGGTAGTGGCATCAATGAACTGCATTTGTAATAGTAAATTCGCTTTAAAAATTATTGATAGAAAATGCTTCGAAAAATTTGTAATAATCATTAAGAATAGATGGTGCCGTGGAAAGGGAACATTTCTTAAATTTAGACGTTGTATGCAGTAATACTTGTCGAAGTGATGACCGTTTCTCTAATTCACTAAACAAACACCTAGGGGATTTATATTTTAGAATTTTATAAAGCAAGGTGGCATACAAAAGCAATGAGCGATAGGGGAATTTTAAAACATTTTCTCTGATATATACTAAGTGACATATAAATCCGAACACCCAGTTTAAATGGTTTTATTTTAATAAAAGTTGGTGAATGTATTTATCTTACTGTAAATAACAAGTGAAAAAATTTTCAGCCTTATCAGTTGGACATTCCGGTTTTTATACTGCTTTTTTTTTAATTCATAAACGCTCTAAAAATGAATATTTTAGCCGCAGTAAAGAATCAACGTTGGCGGATTTTGGTTCTTGACATCCTTTACGATCGGTTACGATGCTTAGAGTACGGAGACCTGTACGATTTCGTCAACTTAGTGAGTTTGATAGGTGGCGTATAGTGGGACTTCGGGAAGCTGGACTTTCTTTTCGGGTAATTGCAGTTAGAGTGCAAAGAAGTGTAGACACTGTGGTTAGGTGTTGTCAGGCATGGCTTCGAGAAGGCCGTACGCAAAGAGCAAGGGGCACTGGATGCCGCCGTAGAACAACAGACCGTGAAGATCACCGCCTAAGATTATTGGCCTTAAGGGACCGTTTCTCCACTACCAGGTCCATTGCAAATGAATGGTTTGCAGAACACGGAAGACCTATTGGCATGCGAAGTGTTTACCGACGAATGAGAAGTTTTGGCTTGTTTTCATACCGTCCACACTGGATCCTCCCTTTAACTCGAGAACACCGACGTAATCGCCTTGAGTGGTGCAGACAACGGTCACTCTGGGATCAGGAATGGAACAGTATTGTCTTTAGTGACGAGTCTCGATCTTGTTTAGGCATGCACGATGGTCGTGCCAGGGTTAGAAGGCGACGTGGTGAAAGGAGGAATCCACAGTTTTTTGTTGAAAGACATGTTCATCACACTGTTGGAGTTATGGTTTGGGGTGCTATAGCTTATGGTTCCAGGTCACCTTTAATCTTCATCAGAGGTAACAGGAACGCGCAGCGTTATATCCACGAAGTTCTAGAACCCCATCTTTTACCCTATCTTGACACCCTGGCAGATCCAACTTTCCAACAAGATAATGCCCGACCACATGTTGCAAGAATCACAATAGACTTCTTTCAACATAATGGTGTCACATTGTTAGCATGGCCACCAAGATCTCCCGACTTATCCCCAATTGAGCACGTGTGGGATATGATGGGTAGGAGATTGCTCAATTTGCAACGTCCTCCTCAGACTCTAGAAGCACTTCGAGAGGAGTTGGTGGTTGCCTGGAATGAGATACCACAGGAGGACATTGACCACCTGATCAGAAGCATGCCTAGGCGCGTTGGAGAATGCGTAGCACATCAGTGTGCATCCACACATTATTAAAGGTCAAAGGGCTTTAAAGCAGTGCAATCATTTTGAAATTTTTATCATTTACTTATTATGCTTCATTAAGTACTTATACAAAATTTTATTAAAATAAAACCATTTAAACTGATTGTTCGGATTTATATGTCACTTAGTATAATATCTAGTAATGTGTTCTTGTCTGTGTATATCGCTATGACAAAACTTCATACAACAATTTTGAAGAATTTCGATTTTCTGTTTTATTTCCTCTGTCAGAAAATTATAATAAACTGTAATTCCATAATCTAGGTATGTTAGAATTTGTGAATCAATAAGTCTTGCTTTAATATCACTTGGCAATAAATCCTTGTATCTCCAGAGAGATTTGTATTTAAAATAACATACTCTAAGTTTACTTAAAACATGACCCTCAAAGCATAAATTTGTGTCTCACATTATTCTCAAATTTTTTATTTCATCCACAATTTCAATAAACTATATCTGTATTAATTGCTTGTTTACACTTCGAAACTATCAACCTAAAACCAATGCAACAGACTTTAGTGTGGGAGGGGTTTTGTTTTAACCAGTAATTCCTTGAATAATTTTCTATAATCTTTAATCTCATATTGAGGTCCATTATCAGGGAAGGTATGTTATCTGGTCTACATGCTTTATAAATTTGTACATCATCCGCATAGAAATGTATACTCCAATTAGATACAATCTACCAAATCTGAAGTGTAGAAACTAAACAGTATAGGACCTAAAACACTTCCTTGTGAAACACCTGATTTTACATCTCGTAAAGTAGATATTGACCGGAAATTTTTACACATTGGGATCTGTCAGTCACATAGTTGATAAACAATTGCAAGGCGTTGCCAGATAAACCACAGTGTTATAATTTTCTACATATAACCTTCCTTCCTGTGCGTCAGGTACTACTTTATTCACTTCTAGATGCCCTCGCAGCTCGTCATCAACAATTTTTTCAATGACAATGCAGGTAAAACACTTATTGGCCTCAAGTCATTTAAGTCTACAACATCGACGACTTTTGGAAGCGGTGTTATTACTGACTTTTTCCATAACATCGGCACTTCTCCCGTATCCAGTGACCGGTTGATGATTTCGGTAATTTGTTATATACAAAAAGAAAATACGTTTTTCAGTATCCTTGTGGTAACACCATCACATCCAGCTACGTTTGGCCTTAATTGTATCAATTTTTATTCAATTTTGACCGATGTTACACGACAGAATGAAGATTCAGATACAGTTGCTTGTTTCTGTTATGAAAATCTATTAAGTAACAAATCATTGAACTGGATAGTCGGTACAGAGTTGACAAAGTATTTATTGATAATTTCTACATCCTTTATTCCTGGCGATATGTATTTGTTGGATTTTCGATGTATGTTCCATCATGCGAAATCGTTCCAAAGCTGTTTGAGGTTTTTTCCTGTTTTTATTTAACTGATACTTTATATAAGCTGTCCTCTCATTTCTTATACCCATGCTGAAATAATTTCTAAGCTCGTTATAAAATAAACGATGTGCTTCGGATCCGGTTCTTTTAAGCTGATTGTATGCTTTTCGCTTAACACATCTGATACATTTAATTGTATAGGTTATATAAGGCCTGTAGTTCTTACGTGATGTGACGCTTTTTACTGGTGTGTGTATGTCATACAGCAAGTTAATATTTTCAGTAGGTAATGTAATTAATTAACTTTATCATTAATATTTGGAAGTTCACTCATATAGCTCCAGTTGATGGTAGCAGCATCTGTAACAAATTCGTCATAGTTGAAATGAGAAAAATCTCGACAGTAAAATACAGCAGGAGTATACTTCGGAGTGTTAAGGTTTAGCTTACAAAAGCACAATCTGTGATCTGTTGACAAACCTAAGGTACCACATTTGCATATATCCAACGTACTTGTTACAAAAATGATGTCTATCATTGTGGCTGTGTTTGCAGTAAGTTTTGTAGGTCCTTTTATGACCTAGATTAAATTAAATAATGTCATGGTATGCAAAAACTATTTGCATGGTCCCATTGATTTATCTGTGAGATCGATGTTTATGTCTCCTAGCAATATGAGTTCATCATGGGCACTGTACACAGATCTAAGCGTTTCTTCTAAGTCAGAGAGTATACCTGGAGCACAAGATGGGGGTCCGTAAATAACACCTACTGCAACATGTTTGTGTTCAATTTTCACTGATAGCCACAGATACTCGATACCATTTGGTGGAATACTGCTAAGATCTAAGATTTTATACCTTAGACCACATTGGACTTAAAGCATACTCCACCCCCCCTTCCTTCTCTATCCTTTCTGATTAACTGACAATTAAGCAGGGGAATTAAGTTAGATGGGTCACGGCTATAATATAAAAATCCTGCTCCAGAATACTATCTGAAAATATATCAAAGCTTGGAACTAGTTAACATTTAGGGTGCTGCAAGTGTTTGCAGTCTGACATATTGGTTTCCTTGGATGTAGTTTCAAAGTTGGTTCTTGATTGCTATATAGCATAATCTATGTTATTTCTAGCAGCCTCTAGTTTCTTTCTCATAACTGAGCAATTAACCTTATCAAAAGCAGAATGGTTCACATCCAATTTTAGTCTAAATTTCTGGTTAATTGCGAGACAATTAGAGCAAGAGACACTAGCTCTATGTCTTTTATCTCCATATTTCAAACAGAACGACTCATTTGTACATTTGCTTGCTGTGTGGCCGTAACCGCTACAGTTGTAGCACCTTAGTAAGTTAATATGTTCCTATACTGAACATATTAGTCGTCAAATTGAAAGAAATCATACCATTTTCCAAGATGTTTTTGGATCGCACTCAATTATCGCAAAAAAGTCTTGTCTTCGTCTGTTTTATTTTAAGTACCCGGTAGGTAGTTTTAAATTACTTTTTTGTTTTTCGAAGTATTCCCCACGAAGATTAATACACATCTGCATGCGCTCGAACCAATTTTCGAAGCACTTATTCCACTCGTTTGCTGGCAGATCCAAAACGGCATTTTTGAATGCGTCAACTGCTTCTTCTGGTGACTGGAACCTTTGACCACACAGTCTGTTTTTAATTTTCGGGTAAGTAAAGTAATCGTTAGGACTTAGATCGGAACTATATGGAGGATGGTCCAATAATTCCACGTTTTCTTCCGTTAAATTCTGCCTTGCTTTGTCTTGGTGGATGATGATTCTTCTTTCGGGGTTGATTTTTCGAAGCTCGGTGATGAATTTTGGCAAACAAATGGTAGTATACCAATCCGCAGTAACAGCTCTTTGCTCATTAAGAGGAATTGTTGCAATATGACTCGCTTATGACACAAATGTCGCGGCCATCTTTTTCGAAACATTTCGAAAACGGATGACTTTTGTTGGCTTTCCTCACCCAAACAGCCGACTGTCGTTTATTTTCTGGTTCACAACAGTAAATCCACGATTCATCACCACCAACAATGCTGTACACATTTTTTGAGTTTGCGGAATTGAAAGGATCAAGCGTTCTTTGACACCAATTAATCCAGGCTGCTTTCTGCTCTTCAGTCAACAGGTGGGGTATCCAACAAGAAACTAATTTTCTTACTCCTAATTCTTCATGTAAAATTTTTTGAATTGAGGTCTTTCAAGATCTTCAAGGACGCCTCAATCTCGCGATATATCACATGTTTATCTTCAATGATGAGTTCACGCACAGCATCGACGTTTTTCTGGGTGACTGCCATATTTGGTGCACCCACCCTGGGGTCATCACTAAGTCCCACCCGTCCACGTTTGAATTCTCCATACCAATGGGAAATTGTCGACTGATGTGGCGCTTCGTTGCCGAAAACAGACACTAACTCAGCAAGGCATTCTTGTTCCGATAATTGTCTCTGAAAGTTGTAATAAATTATGGCGCGAAAATGTTCTCGGTCGAGTTCCATTTTTCTAATGACTTGGTGACACTTAAAAAATTCACTGTAGTGAGAACGCTGCGCGTATTGTTGTGAAACTTTGAATTTAAGTTTACTAAAGAGTGAGGTTAAGATTCAGTACTGACGTTCGATACTCGCGGCCTACTATGTTTCTATATGCAAAACTTAAAAGACATCCCTCGTATAGCAATGAACTCTTCACTGTCCAATGCTTGTTCAATTCCAACAACTTTGAATTTAGGTCTCTGGTAATGACTAACTATTTTAACGTTGTAAGAGCCGCTTAATTCTTGGGTCACTACATCGTTTACCTTCTGTATTTCGCTTCTGTTTTCACACGAGATCTTCAAACTCCCATTTTCAGATTCCTTAACTCTTCTTTCCTTAACATTCAGTTCGGCAGGATTCAGAATCTTCAAAACATCCTTTTTTGTTTGCAAAGATTGTTGAGTTCCTTTAGGTTTTCTAAGAGCACTATCTGAACCTGTTTTCTTTACTATTGAGCTATACTGTAGCATCATATCTTCTGTTTCAGATACTGGATTCGTCTCTCCTACTGGCTTGTTTGCTACAGTTATGTCATCAGCTTTGCTTCTAATACATTCAATTTTTTCCTTCAATAGTGCTATTTTTTCATATAGTTCTTTGATTACTACATCTTTCGGCTTGATAATTTCATCTTTCGATAAAATAATCTCGTCCTTAGTTTTTATGATATCCTTCGACAGTTCTTCAGTGTTATTATTATATTTTTCTACATTGTCCCCATCTTCAGGGTCTTTCATGTTTTTATTCTTCTTTCGGACAGTCTGGCTCATGTTCCCTTATTCCAGCGGCAATTTTCAGATTATCCTACGCACGCTGTAGACTAGTTTCCTAATTTGATCTGACACTATTGACTAATGTCCAAATGACAAAATGGAATAGATGGCAAAATGGCTGAAGATTGCTCCCAAAACGCCCTGTAAGAAGGGTTTTGACAACATTGTCACATTTGCGAGCTTAAAGGCTTTCACGAGTTTGTGGGACAGAAAAGCTATTGTAATATGGAGGTTGACCCAGGAGGGTTCAAAGAGGTAGCAGTACCACTGATAATGGGGAAGGAGCGGCGGCGAATCACGGTCGAAAACTGAAAACATGGGCCCATTGACGCAGATGTCATCGGAGCAGAAAACCAACGAGAAACTGATGATGATTATAGACGACCAGGCGATACAAATCCGAGAAATCATGCAGACAATCAAGGACCAGACGGCTAAAATTGACAGCCTGACCGCCCAGGTAACTCTTTTAATAAGTTCGAAAGAATCCCTCAAAGAACGGACCAACAGCCTAAAGAGACCGCTACGGACCATTACCTACGATCAATATATATCCACAGACGATCACACATACATAGACGGATTTATAAACGCAAAATCTAGAAGGAGGAGAAGCAACAAGGCTGACCGACGAGCTGAGGAGTTTCCACCTCTTCCAAATACAGAATCCACTCTCCTACGCACCTTCCCCAGTTCATCAAAACAAAATACCAGCCACACTATGTCTATTACCAAACCTTTCTATCTACCTCTAAGGTTACCCCGTCGGCCAATGTCACTTCTCAGCCATCTCACTCAGCTGACGTGGCATCAAGCTAACCTTCACGCCAAAGCCGCTTAACGAATATTGTTCTGCGTGATGGGGCGAGGTGGCGTACGATAAGCTACAAACTTATTTCCCTAGGCATTAAAATAGATCGCGCGGTTGCTGTCGACGCGGGAATAAGGAGTATTCCTAAATCTGAGGAAGTCTATCGTACGATCGTTCGACTGTTACGAGAGGGAAAAGTGCCCCATCACACTTTTCCTCTCCCTTCGTAACGGAACATCCACGCGGTGGTTCGAGGAGTTCCCGTCAACTTTTCGGATACTGAGATTAAGGGAGAACTTGAGCAGAGGAAATATATCCCTCTCCACATCATTCGATTGAAGCGCAGCGGCGGCGCGCCCATGCCTTTGGTGGTCGTGATACTGTCCAAGACTGAAAAGTCTCAGCAAGTGTTCAACGAACACGAACTGCTGAGACTGGCCATTCGAGTTGAGGTTCAGAAGAACTCCAGACTCATTGGGCAGTGTCACCGCTGTCAAAAGTACGGGCATGCGCAGTCATATTGCACTGCACCGCCCAAATGCTTAAAATGTGCAAAGAACCACATGACGCATTTGTGCCCTCATCACAGAAGAGGAAGAGGGCAAGTGCGTAAACTGTGGAGAGGGACATCCCGCAAATAGCCGGACTTGCAAGTTCACTTCAAGGAGGAACTTGCAAGTTATAGCGCAAAAGCGCAATCTATCATACGCGGACGTAGCTAAGGGCGCAACCTTGCCTGCCCCCGCTGCCCAACCTCCCTTGAACATGCAAAATGTGGACCTGGCAACCGCGCTAAGGTCCCAACAACAAATAATAGGCCCACTGATTAGCGTTACCCAAGCGTTGCAGGCGATATTTCCTCTAAATGTCTAGGTACAATAGTAAACAGCCTGCATTCATCAAAATTCTTTTTTGGAATTATTTGGGCATCTTGCTGAAACACAAAATCTTGGCCGGATGTCAAACATTCTTCCATCACTGGTAAATGCGATTCTTCCAAAATTGCCAAATATTTGTTTGTATCCACATTTCCATCAATAAAATGAAGTTTCCCTACTCCTTTTGATGACATACTGCCCCAGACCATAATGGATGCTGGGAATGTCCCTTTTATTCCCAAAAAACGGGAATTTCATCAGGCGCAGAATTACGGTGTTATCCGAAGTGACAGATTGAACGGTCGAGGAGGCGGTTTAGCAGTGTCGGTTAGGCGCGGTATAGACTATTATAGAAGAACTAATGCGGAGATGCATAGCATCGAAGCAGCTTCTGTGGTGGTCAATATGGCTGGAGATGTCTCGTTGAAGATCACATCGGAGTATATCAGGTGTGGTGCCAGGCTACAAGAGGCGGATCTGGACGTCCTTTTGGACTACTCGGGTCCGCTTATTGTGGCAGGGGACTTCAACTGCAAACATCGAGCATGGAATTCTAGGTTGAATTCCACTAGTGAGATTCGATTGTACAACCATGTGATGCGAAATGGATACTTTATACATAGCACTGAAGAGCCGACACACCATCTGTTCAACCATCTTCAGGCACCAGATGTCATCGACTTCGCGATATCTAAAAACTGTAGATACATTATCTCTTCTCGAATCTTGTATGATATCTCTAGTGACCATCTACCTGTTGTCGTGGACGTGGGCAATGATCAAACTTCTGACCAGGAAGCTCCTCCAAGGAAACGCATTGATTGGGATTGAACTATGATCTTGATAATGACCTCGACGAGGAACAGCACATAGTACGATCCGTCAGGAGATATCTTAGAGCCAACGGCGTTAGCGGAGTCACTAAATCCTCTTCAGATGACTTTTCTTCAGAAGATTCGTCTGAAGCTCCACATAGCACATTAGCGGAACCCTCCGAGTTTCCACATTGCACACCAGCGGAGCTCCTAAGTCATATTCTAGACCTCAAGATGCTTAAAGCACCTGGGGAGGATCAAATCACCTACAAGGCATTGAAGCTGCTCTCACCGAAAGTCCTAACATATTTGGTGACAATAATCAATGCGACGCTCAAAATCCAGTACTTCCCTACTGGGTGGAAGACTGCTGAGGTCATCATGATCCAAAGAAGGTGGGTTCGATATTTCCTCAGGATTAACGTCCCATAAGTCTGTCAGCTCCTTCTAAGCTCGCCGAAAAGGTGATTTATTGCCACCTTGATAATTTTTCGTCAAATCACCATGTGATTCCTGACGTTCAATTCGGTTTTCGGTCCGAGCATAGCACCGAGCTACAGGCAGTCAGGCTGGTGGAACGTGTAACCAGAGGGTTCACCCTCAGCATGAGTACTGGCATCTTGCTTTTGGATGACTCAAAAGACTATGACAAGGTGTGGCACGCGGGCCTCCTTTATAAACTAATCCAAAAGGGTTTTCCTTTTTGGCTTCTAAAATTACTGAAATCCTTTCTTGAAGGAAGGAATTTTCGGATCAAAATTAACAATGTTTTGACAACAACACGGCCAGTACGGGCCGGTGTTCCTCAGGGTTCGGTCCTAGGAACAATCCTTTATTCACTTTTTATCCATGTTGTCCCTTGCCCCAGCAGCTGTAAAGTCTACCTCTGTGCTGACGACACTGCACTTGTCGCCCAATCGTGTACTGGTGATCTGGTTCACGATGGGTTGCAGAGTGCGGTGGAAGAAGTACTAGAGTGGGCGGAACGGTGGCTGATTAAAATTAATCATTCGAAAACGCAGGCTATTTATTGTACCAAAAAGCGTCGCGACCCCCCAGTAGAGGTTTCTGTGGACGGCAATCGTGTACCATGAACAAATTCTGCCAAGAACCTCAGTGTCACCCTTGATAAATGCATGTCCTGTCAGAAATATACAGCAGCGTTGAAAACAAAATTCCAAATTGCGTTTCGGCAACTATATCCTTTGCTGTGTAGATCCTCCAAATTAAGTTTGATAAACAAAGTTCGCCTATATAAAATGATTATTAGACCAGCCATTACTTATGCATGTGCAGCTTGGTGCTCCAAGACACATATGCAAAGTCTTCAAGTACTGCAAAGTAGAACTTTGCGAACAATTTTCAACGCTCCATGGTATGTCTCAAACGAGACACTACACAGAGACCTTGACGATCCTTACTTAAGGGATTATGTCAAACTTCATGCGCAGCGACGTTATAGTCAAGCGGAATCGCACAGCAACCGTCTGTTGCGCGACTCAGTGGACCACACACTAGAGTAAGTTCGTAAACATTCAAGGCCACGGCTCACACTGTAATCAAAAATTAGCGCGAACTTGTAGTACACTTGAAATTACACTCTAACAAAATTGAATAAAAAATTTGTTTAGTTCACCTCAAAATTAATCCGTATGCCAAGTCAAAAAGCCTAGGTGTCTCCTCTTAAACTAAACACTTCTATTTTCCTTTGCTCTTCTCCATTTTTCTTCTCTTTCCCTTTCTCTTTTTCCTTGACTTTGTCTGGTTTCTGGACAACCAGGACTGACAGATTCGACTGACGTACATTAGACAGTGACTAATGGGCAAAGGTCCTACTAGACAAATAAATGACAAATAGTAAGATTGCTCCCACGGCTCTATCTCAACAGGTCCACGGACGCACCTCTTCCCGCTCTTAACTTGAACACCTATGGTTTTAAATATTTTTGGTTTTTCTCCCATATTTTGAGGTATTTATAGTGAATACTAACTTAGTAGTCTACTATATAGGGAGCATATAACATATGGATGACTGTTTTCTGCAAGTCAATAAGAAATGGCCCTAGCGTATTTTGGAGAATTTGGAAGCACATAAAATAAAAGGTGTCTCGAGTGTAATGACCTTCTAAAACATCGCCTTGTATCTTTGAAACGAACGTCAATCGTTAAAATGCCACATAATAGTACACATGTCTGCCCCATTTTTAGAAAACGCCTCCTTGTTCAAGGGACGCTCCTTTTTCTCCGGTGCATGTTGATGAGGCTACTATAGTATGTTGCAGAAACGGTGTCTATACTTGCTAGACAGTTTGAGTCTTTACCTAGATTTATTCTCGTAAATGATTATTCAGCAGACAATTTCTCAACAACGTTCTACTTCATCCCGATTTGTATCCTTCGCTCGCTTTTCTCCAGTGAAACACAATCTTTTCTGTGCTTTTCCGTAACTGTATTAAGTTTCCTATTTATGTAGATGGCAAAACTTTCTCACTATGAATTTTTTGCTGGAGGAATAAAGAGCTACTTCCAACAAAACGCTGCTAAACAAGACCGAACACGAAGTTTCGAGAATGTTGTCACACAACAGGCATGTTAGGAGCATAGTTTCTACATATTTTTTTAATCAACGCTATCTAAAGCAAAGTCCAATTAATACCAGGTTACCTTGACCGCTATCAAAATTAAGAATTTATTAGTAAGATGATATGAAATAAGTTGAGACATGGCAACACTATAAAAATTAGTCCGTTTTTGAAACAACCCAACTGCAGCAATTGAAAGGAATGAAGACTTAATCAAAATCCATGTTAAGCTCTAGCCTATTTCCGATTGACATCCAACATTTTAATTTTATGAAATTTAAATACAGATAGTGCCACTCGCGCTGCCGGGACGAATCGAACAACCCTCATATATGTCAAAATACATCGAGCCGTTTGAGCTGTAGCCTGTGAAATAGGAAATTCGGCGTCGATTTTTTTTATTAAAATCCGCCATTTCGTTTTTTTAAAATTTTAATATAGTCAATGTCACTTGCGCTGCTAAGGCATCTCCAGTGACGACTGTAGACCGTAATATAGATTTTCTGAATAGATAGGTTCGCACACACACGAGCGAAAACCAGAATACCGACCGCCTATCAAGAAAAACTATGAATATGTCAAATAGGTCCCCTTTATTGAAAATATAGTCAAGACAGAAGCTCCCCAGGTGCCACAATCTGCGATTTTTCATTTTTTTTTTTAATTCGTTGCATGTTCAAAAAGGAGATTACTATCTTATATAGTAGTATAGCGATTTGATTATTAGTTGTTGAGTTATATACATTATTACGAACAACAACGCCAAATATGATAGCCCGTCGCGTTAAAAATTGATAAACTCATGGAGTACTCATAAATAGCCTCAAAATGAAGTATCGCATGACACTCGCATTCCACTTAAAAAAAATGTTCCAGGTTGGCGCTGCTTTATTACTAAATACTTGGTCTGGGTATACTTTTTCTTGGGCTCTTAACATTCCTGTTGAATACTGTAGATAGAAAATTTTCTTAATATGGTAATGCAGATATGACATGACAATAACAACGCTTTTCAAAGAGATTCAGATCTAGAAATTCGATGGCTCTTCGGATAAATTTCGTGCCCACTGGTTTTGTTCAGAAACTCGACGCTTGGTAGAACTTCTCAGTGAGTTGGAACTAAGTTTTGGAAGTTTGAATTTTCATATTCTCTGATATCTCCCTGATAATAGGTTGACTTTCAGCACGTGCACTTCTCTGGATCGTTTAGGGGTAGTAATTTATCAAAGCGCGTTGTTTATCAAGTCCAACTTCATGGATGTTCCCAGGAACAGTTGTATACCATATCAGTCATTTTCTCCGAGGTTTTTTCTTATGGTTTGTTTTTGGATAGCAAATGTACAGATATTCTACATCGCCACCTCAAACCCATACTGTTGTGACATGTGACATAACAGTCAACTGGTGTTATGCTAAGTCTTTACTACTTGTCTCAAAAAGTTACCATGGACAAACACTATTAATACCTACTGGATTAGACATTCAAGTTTTATTTTCAGGTAGAAGATAAATACTCGTAATAATATTTGTATATTATACGAGCCCCTTCCCACTTCAGTTGGCCCACTTCAAGATTTGTACCACAATATGCCTTTATAAACTAAGCATGACGAAACTATTTACTTCTAAAACAATTTATTTTCTCAAAAACATTTTAGATACACTCTAGTCTTAAAAACTACATATTTGAAATCACTTAGACCTATAACTAATAGAACATCTGAACAATTAAACAATGTGCGAATAAATGCGCGATGTTAACAAAGCAACAATTGAAAGATTGCCATTGGGTAACATCACCTTTATTTTTTATCACGGCTGAAATCCTTTGGGGCATAGTGTTAACCAAGTTTTGGCAAACATTTGGTGTAAAACAATCCCATATTTCTTGAAGCTTTTCTCTCAGTTCGGTGATTGTACGAGCAGGATGTTGTCGTAGAACTTTTTCGTCTCGTGCCACAAAGTTTCAATAGGTGACAGATCTGGACTGCTAGAAACCCATTTCAAAAGTGGTACATTATTTTCTTCCATCCATTTTATAGCCTTTTTGAGGTATGGCACGCTGCACCATCTTGCTGAAACACAAAATCTTGGCCGGATGTCAAACATTCTTCCATCACTGGTAAATGCGATTCTTCTAAAATTGCCAAATATTTGTTTGTATCCACATTTCCATCAATAAAATGAAGTTTCCCTACTTCTTTTGATGGCATACTGCCCCAGACCATAATGGATGCTGGTAATGTCCCTTTTCTCTTCAGATAGTCAACATGGAATGCTTCATTTTTTTGCGAATAACTCTACTGCGACTGTCACCAACACAAACTTCGAATCGGGCCTCATCACTCCCTTGTATTGCACACCATTGCTAAGGTGTACATTGTCTATGTTCTTTAGCCCATCTAAGCCGATTTTTCTTTTGCATGGAGTTGATAGTGGCTTTTCTTTGGTCTATAAACAAGCTGTGCAACTTTAGGGTTTTTACTTCACTTTTTTTATAAGAAAACTTACCTTGCAAGTGCTAAATCCCAGTTTGTGGACCTCTCTATGAGTTGTGGACCTCGAAATTCTCCTTCCAATAGCGTCACTCCACAGAGCACTTAATTGTAAATAATTGGCAAGCCTGTTTTTCATGATTATTCTTCTTAATGCTCTTCGGTCGGCATTTGTGATATTACTTTTTTCACATATCGTGGCTTAATATTAACTGAACCAGTTACGTTATATCTTCTAACAATATTTCTCAAACTGTACTGTGTCTAACAAAGTTGAAATTTCTGAGTTTGATTCCCCAGAATCAAAAAAATTAATTATCAGTAACCGAATTTTCTCACTAATAACCTTTTCTCTACCCATTTTGAAAACCTTAACTACCCAAAACTATTTTAAACGTATTCTGACAGCTGTGATTAATAAAAACAATTGTCATGGCTTTTATTTTTCACAGCCACCTATGCGTTATAGACTTATTTTGCATTGAAATGAAAATAGGTTGATATGCTGTAATTGCAACATGTGTTATTTTTATGCTGCAAATTTGATTAGGGAGTGATAAAGTTGGTGTTTTCTACTATATATTATCAAAATATTCATTGTTAATATTTTAAACCTATAACACCCTGCTAAATTTTTATTATTTGTGTTTGATAAGAAAAAAACTAAGATTTTAAATAGTTGGGCCAACTGAAGTGGGAAGGGGCTCGTATATTTCTGCATTGCACGACATTACTACAAAGTTTGTTGCTATGATTAACAAAACCTGACAATACGACCGAGTTTTTTTTTCACCGGCAATTAAAAAGTGACAGATGTCTAACCTATGCTATATCTAGTTACTGGAGTTTGGTATTGTTATCGGTGTCCAATGAAACTTTATGGACGTACTAATGTACCCATAGTAGTAAGTAATTTAGTCTTGATCTTTGTATAATAGCCTTTCTGCAATACAAACTGCATGTTATGAAAGTGATAGATTTGAGAATAATATACGAAATAACTAATTGCTAGTTAGTATAAATTACAGTCAGCACTACTAACAAAGACATAATTTTAATAAAATTGTAACTTTGTATGAATACATCCATCTGGTCGTCATCGTCAATACGGGGCTAAAACGTCCATGTTCCAATTTTTTAAGCTAAGCTATTTTAGGTCATCTGAAGCTGTTGAACTAACCGCCTAGTTCGTCTCACCGCCACCAAACAACGATGTGCTGACAGCTGTCAATTTCTTCTATGAAAACCCCGGAAGATTTTCGTGCAGTGCGTGTGATTGGTTACAGCTACTAAATCATGAGGAAGAATGTGGCAGGCATTCACAAGATCCATAGAAATTCTCGTTGCCTTCTTCGAGTATTACTCGGCAAGGTAAAGCAAATATAAGCCAAGTTGTAGGCTTCATTTAAAGTGTTTAAATAAAAAGTCGTTTGAGAAGTTGAAATTCATACTTTATACCGGAATCAAAATTTTGCGTACAAATACGATCAATCACACGGAATTTTTTAAGAGTTGAATGTAATGAATATGGCCGATTTTCTTTTAAAATGTATCTCAAATTATACGATTTGTGTAAGACTAGCCTAATTACCATGTTAAATCGAGAAAGATATGGTTTAGCTACAAAAAAGTATTTTTTATGTGTGCCTAGATAAAAAATTTGAAACTATGGCACAAACCCAAACCAATAAGAAGGCTTTTTTGAAGTAGTGGATCTAATAATTATAGTGGATTTCTCGTAAAATGTCCCTTGAACTGGAGAAACAGAAAATTATGTACAGGTATATTAACAAATAAACATAATTTACTCGTACATGCATGCTGTTATTATAAATAGGATAATTGCAAATGTTTATCTCAAAAATAAGCATCTCCCAGATACAGGCGTTGAACTAGCCATACCGGAAAACAGTGGTTTATCTACAACTCAATGAACATGTTGATGAATTGTTAAAAATATACCATTTCTTCGAAACATTTTCAAGTTAAGTAGATACTGTTATTTTCTATAAAATGTTTAGTAATAGCTGTGATCTCAATCTAGATACTGATACTGAATCAGATTTGGTACATGCTTCAAGTATGGCGCAAATCCTTTTTTTTGATTAGTGGATTTTGTGTAGATGGCCGTATATTTTGTGCCCGGGTGCGAACAAAAAATAGGCTTTTGTAGCTAAACCAGAAGATTTATGGAGTAATTCTGGATGTAATATGGGAACTATCTCCCCATCCTGTACAAATCTTATAAGCTTTCTCTAGTTTGAGAGATGCTTTACAACAAATAAAGTATATTCATTAGATCATTAGATCCATCACTCCAAAAATGCCGTCTCAGTGGTTTGTGCCCCGGATTAGTAGAATCGGACCATA